CACGTGCACACACACACACACACACACACACACACATTCATTCCCCCCTCACAATGGAAAAGAAACTGGAATGACGGCACCCTCCACTGAGATGTATCCACAAACAGCTCGGTCCACGTGCCTAGTTTCCTCATTGCTGCCACGTGCCTAGTTTCCTCACTGCTGCTGCTTACTGCTGTGTAATCCGCCGTGCTTGAAAAACTTGTTTGTCTCACAGCGTTGGTGACACCTCCCAAGTGTGGCAAATACATCAGAATAGCCTGTGGTGTCGGGGGAAAATTGTGTCATTTCATCCTCTGACGTTCGACAATGCTTCAGAACAGGCAAATCCAGCAAGAAAAGGCCATGGATCCAGACGCTTACAGAAAGTAGAATGTATACAGGATGTAGAGCACATTTGTGAAGGAGTTGAAATGGTGCTCAATGTACAGAAAACGGGATGAACAAACTGAACTAGTGGCTGAGACAGCAGCCCCCTCGACACCACAAGGCTATACTTACGGCCAACTTGATGAGCCGTGGCCACTGGGCGGACCTAGTGCTGTCCTGTCCTTGGAGTAAATAGGCCACAAATGTTGAACACCTTCTCATTTGTTTCTCCTCTCAAATATCTATGGAATATTTGGAAGATGTATTAAAAGCCTAAGAAAGCCCCAGTATTTTAAGCCACACATTAAGATAGAAATATCTGTAAAAAGTTAGAAAATGAGAAAAACATGCTTTGGAGATAGAATTTGACAAAGTTGTCAATGAGTGTCTGTGAATGCTATCATGACGTATCTCCTGTGTATAAAACATTAGAACTTGTATGGCCTTACTATTATGTGAAATGTTCATTAACCCTTTATACGATGTGTTCACACCTGTTCAAGATTTGGTTTTGCTTTCTCAAGTGATACAAAGTGACCTGATTGGACCAAACGATAGGCCATAGTAGCATTAAGTTAAACGTTGCTGTTGATCACAGATATGGAGATTGAACGTCTGTCTGTTTTGTTTCCAAAAACCTCATTGGTCGATGTGGTGTTAGACTGTGATAGACCTCACCTCATTGGTCGATGTGGAGTTAGACTGTGATAGACCTGACTAGGGAGTAAAAATGTATGGACGTACAACACGATAGAACCCTGAACTGTGTAATCAAGGGGCATAATCAAAACAAATCTACCAAAAACGTGAAGAGTTGGACCCCCCTGATGACAAGGTATCAATGTCTCCAAATGTATCCAAAGTAGGACAGGATAGCCCTAGGCTCGCCACTTGGAGGGTCACACTTTGATGTGGACGTTTGATGTGGACATTTGATGTGGACGTTTGATGTGGACGTTTGATGTGGACATTTGATGTGGACATTTGATGTGGACGTTTGATGTGGATGTTTGATGTGGACGTTTGATGTGGACGTTTGATGTGGACGTTTGATGTGGACATTT